TTCGGGTTTTTTTTTTGCCCTTTCCATGACCCGACCTCAATAAAACTTTGGGGTTTTTTTTTGCCCTTTCGGCCTCTCGGCGTGGAGGGGTCAAGGGGTTCAAAAGTCACCACCTTTGGGGTTTTTTTTTTCTTTTTTTCCCCTCTCTTCTCTTTTCCCTTAAAAAAAATTAAAAAAAAATTATTTCGCTTTTTTTATCCCTTTACCTCTTCGTTTTTTTTCCCCATTATTTCATTTTTCTCCTTTTTATTTCCCTATCCCTCCACTCATTTCACCTTTCCCCCGTTTTTTCCTCATTTTTCCCCTTTTTTCCCCATTTTCCCCATTTTCCCCCCATCTTTTCCCATTTCCAGGATGGAAATTCTATCAGGCCTCGCTCTGCCAGCGCCAAACTTCCCAAAAAAGGCAAAAATTCCCCCAAAAAAGGCCAAAATTAAAAAAATGAGGTCAAAAATCCCAAAAAAGGTCAAAATTCCTCCAAAAAAAGTCCAAATTGACCCAAAAAAGCTCAAAATTCCCCCCCAAAAAGGTCAAAATTTCCCTCTAAAAGGTCGAAATTCGCAAAAAAAGCCAAAATTCCCTAAGAAAGCCCAAAATTCCCTAAAACCATGGTTTTCCCCCCCATTCCCCATTCCTGACCCCCGGAATTGGGGGAAATTTGGGGGAAATTTGGGATTTTTTTCCCAAATTTTGCCCCTCCCCCCCTCCCCCGAGGGCAATTCGCGGCCTCCAAAGGCCGGGAGCGATTAATTAAGAGTCATTAACGCAATTCTCATTATTATTATTATTATTATTATTATTATTATTATTATTATTCAGTGTTTTGGGGGTTTTTGGGTTCTTTTTTCCCGTTTTCCGGTAAAATCCGAGCGGGGATTTTGAGGAGGGGGGAGCGAGGTGAGGAGACCACGGCGCGAGGGGGGAATTAATTACAATTATGGCCGTTAATTAATTAATTAAATCATAATAACAGCRGTAATAATAATAATAATAGCAGCAATAATAATAATTTAAACTCCCTCCTGCAGGGAGGGCGAGGAGCCAAATTTAGGGAATTTTCCTCAAAATTTCCTCGGGAAAAGGATCCCAACCCCAAAACCCCATTTTTTTGCCCAAAACCCCATTTTTTTGCCCAAAACCCCATTTTTTCCCCCCTATTTTTGCCCAAAACCCCTTTATTCCAATTTTTGCCCAAAAAAAAACCCTTTTTTCCCCGATTTTTGCCCCTTTTCGCAGCTCTGGGGGTTCGAAATCGGCCTTAAAAAGCGGAGTTGGGAGCGATTTTAAGCTCGGTTTAAAGTTAGTTTTAGCAGCGCGGGAGGGAATCCCTCGGCGTTTCATTAATTATTAATTTTTATTAATTATTTTCTC